GAGCTTTGAAAGAACATCACTGGGAATAAAATCCCTGGAGATGCTCCCGATGTCCTGTCCTAATGACCCCCCCAGCCACCCCACTAACAGCAGGTTTTTTTCAGTAGTTTTTTTTTTTTTTTTTCACATGTTTAGGACGTGTTTAAGCAAGCCAAGCTGAATTGCCAATTAAAAGATTTACCCTCTAAACCATCAACATCTGACCTCAAAAGAGAGTTTTTAGGAAGCAGGGGAGAGGGAGTGTTGAAAGCCAGAATTAGGATATCTGGAGAGCCCCTTGTGCCCCAGAGCAGGTCCCCTTGTGAAACACCTTGTGTTTATTTGGCTGTCACCAGTGGGCAGAATTTAGGGAGCATATTTTTTGGGATTTTCATCATATTTTGTGCGTAGAAAACTCTCTGGGAGAGAAGCCCTTGCTTTTATTTGCTCTGTAACAGCATGGTGGCTGTCGGCAGGCAGTGACCAGCAGCCCTTCCTTGCTTCCCTACACGCTTTTTTGGGATGCTGTGCCTGGATCCAGCAGCCACTAGGTGCCAGTGCTGTTTTACACGAGAACAAGCTGGAGCCAAAGCCTAGGAAAAAAAAGAATTTTTCAGGAATTTGGGCACCTCGCCAGCTGTTAAATATAGCACTCACTACTCCTCACAGTTGCTCGTCCCTCGACGTGGAGCCATTTGTGCCCGGCTACGTGCTCGGGAGAAGGGCAGAATTCCACCTTTGTTTTATTTTTGTTGGCGTGGGATATAAACTACCACAACTCGGGAAACTCGTGTCGGCAGCCCGAGCTCCTGTGCACGGCTCGAGCGCTCCCTCCTGCACATCCCGTCCCTTCCCAATTCACCAGCGGGATTAGGAGATGCTAATTTGGGATCTGACCCCAGGCCCTGAGGGACAGGGGGGGAATTCTCCACAGGATTTGGGATTTATTGGATTCTGTGGTTGTCTGGGGTTTTTTTCCAGCATCCCACAGAGGGTATTTGTGTGCAGTCTATCTGCAGCTCTCTGGTTTTGAACATCTCCACAACCAGGGTCAGATATACACGAGGTGGACCAAGGAATGTCACTCTTCCAATGTTTATTCCTTAAGCAATCCCAAATCTGGATGGGCACAATCTTGTGGACAGCTGGAGCCAGTCTCTGGGCATGGAGAGGAGTTTGAGGTGTCCAGGGAGAGAGCAGCCCACCCCAAGCATCCCCAAATGACAGGGGCTGGTGGGCAGGGGCTGCCTAAGCCCCCACCAGCACTTAGAAAAGGACAGCTGAGAAATGGAATTTTATCCAAGACTGAGATTTTGGGGCCACAACAGAGAAGAAGAAAGGAACATCCATCCCATCAGAGCACCAGGGCCAGGCTGGCCCCCAGTCAGTGACCAGCAGGGACTGATGACCCCTGATGAGGATGTAACCTTCAAAGGTTGTTTGGTTTGGGAAATTTTTCCCCAAAAAGGGGAAAATCCAGGTTGGTATGTGATGGAGCAATGAGATGAGATGGTCCCTGGGAGATCAAGCTGGGAAAAGGGAGCCGTGCAAGTTCCAAGGTAAAGCAGATCCCTTTGGAAGTCACATTATCCCATGGACTGAGGGGGTTTCAGTGGGACATGAGAGTTTCCCTGTAGGATGTTCCAGCTCCAAACACAGAGTTGTGTCACCCTCAGAGATGTTTTATTCTCCCTCTGTACCTCAGATGAGAGGCCCTGTGTTGTACAGACCTCCCGGAAAGTGCTGGCTGGGAGAAGGGAGATGGAAAATGGAATTTTTGTAACCCCTGCCTTGCCAGCAGCCAAAGATGAGGCCATCTGCTGATTTTTCTGGGCATTGATCTCATCACTTACACCTCAAACTTGTCTTAGAATTGGTGGTGGAGGATGGATATCGTTTTTGGCTTTGTCTTTCTCCCCACTGGGAACCCACATCTTTAAAAATGGGAAATCATGTTTTCTTTAAGTTGGGCTGTGGGGTTTGAGATTCCGTGAAAACCATCCTTGCTCTCCCAAACTGACCAGCCAGCTGCTGCTGAGCAAAGAGGGAATCTCAGTTGTGCCAGGAGGGAAACGTTACAGCACAACAGCAAATTCTTCATTGTCCTGGTTTTGGAGGAAATGAAAGCAGGACACCAGGAAAATCTAATGAGGAAAAATAATAGAGCTGGCAGAGCTGCTGGAGCCCGGGGTACAGCTGACCTCTTTGGGAGAGCAGTGTCAAGCTATTTTGGCAAAATCTCTTTTGGGGTGGCAGGGAAGCCTTGGCTTGTGTCATCAGCAGCAAGAGCTTCTCCCATTTTTTGGGTTCAGGATGTCTCTGGAAAGGTACAAACCCAGAATGCCTTGTGCCAGGAATTGCTGTTTCTCAGTCATTTAGCTATGATGGTCTTCCAAGGAGCAGGGCCTCATCTTAAAAAAGATTTACCTATCAGTGACCTGGAAACAGGCTCTTCTCAAGGTGGGGCTAATCCCTCACTGCCCTAAATCACAGATCTCCACATTTACGCCTTATTTTTGCTTGGTGTTTTCTCACTATTGATACAACCCCCAAAAAATCTCCACGGGGATCAGGTAAGGAACAATTACCACTGTAATGAATTCACAGCAAACCCAATTCCTGTAGCACTGGCAGGTAAATAATTACTGGCCAAAGAAGTGCTGGGAAAAGAGGCCAAGACCCCCTTGATTTTTCATTTAGAAATGCAGAAGTACAAAAACTGCCAATTTTCTCCTGTGTGTGCTTGGTGAGGGTCACCAAAGTGGAAAACACTCCTGAACAGCTTGTGACCCTGCCAGTGTGACCTGGGATCGATCCCTCTGGAGCAAAGTGTGTTCCTGTTTACCACAGATGTACACAAGGACTGAGGCTCGTGTTTAAAAAGTTTTAATGGTATTTCAAAGTCCAGTGAATGTCCTCGGATTACTCTAAAATCACACAGTTGCTTCACAGAATTTAGTCCCAGTTCTAATTTGTAACGGATGATTGAGATGCCATTTTCCCCTTCATTCCCTTTAAACATACACGATTGTCCTCCAGTAAATGGAAATTGTGATTTTTCACTACACTTCACAGTGTTAAAATTCTATACAAACCTTGTACTACTCGTACAAAAATAAGTGCTTCATGCACACATTTTTAATACTGCTTCTTGCCCTTTGCTTTGACATCTTTCTGAACTTTATATAAATAGCTGAAAAAGCAGACTAAACTTACTGAACGTGGAAAGTGAGAAACACTTCCTGCCAACGGCTTGAGAGACTCTCCTGGCTGTGCTCCTTGTTGGCAAACACCACTTAAAGACATATACAGAAGTGAAAAAAAAAAAAAAAGCCACGAAATCCATAACACTCTCGGTTATTTGGCCCTCTGTGACCAGGTTTATCCTTTGTTGTGAAGCCAAACGTGGCCAGCAGCAGCCACAGAGGGCTTGTAATACCTTTAGGGTCACCCTAACGAGCTACTTTATAAATAGGAGGGGTCTAACGGGATCTCAGACTGTACAGCTGATGGGGTTTGTTCCATTCCGGGGGAAATTGAGTCAGAAGAGGAAAGAAACACTTGGTTGCTGCAGTCACCATCTTGTCACAGACCCTGGTGCTTTGCACAGCTTGGGGGATGCACAGGAAAAGCTCCCCTTGGAATGGCTTCTGCTCTGCCACATCACAGCATCTAAAGCAGCTGAAAAATATGGGGCCAGATCTGCTGGGTGTCACCAACCTGGTTGTAAATTCCTCCTCCCCAAAATGTTCTTTAGGTCCTAGACTGAATAAATTCAAGTTTTCTTAGTGTGCATCACCACGCAGGATTTAGGATACAGGAATAATGTGTCTGCTGTAGTTATCCAGAACTGGATTCCTCCTGTATCTCCATAGCATCATTGCTCCTGCCTCAATTCCATGGCAAAAATAAATGGAAAATGCCCCTGCTGTACACCAAAGGATGCTCCCAGCATCCCCAAAGGGGTCAAACACCACAAAAACTCTGGTGCTCTCCAAATTAAGAGGTGCCTTTCCTGTTGGCGTGATCCCTCTTCCACTAAATTAATTTTTGCTGGAATCAGAGCAGGCAGCAACCTTGATTTAATGTGCAAGCCAGGCAGGGCTCTGTCCAACCTGGGAAAATGTTCTTTGGATATAATTATATTCCTGTTGAGGTGTCTGCTATTACTGGGCCATGGCTGTGAGCTCTCGTGCTCTAATTAAGTAGGGAATTGGCCTTAATGAATAGCACTTTTCTGCTCCTCAGGCTTAAAAGTTTCCCTATTTTTCAGTGAATGTGCCATTTGATGGGAAGCACACAAAAATACACTGGTATTTGCTGATTTTTAGATATGGCTGGGAGGGAGCAAAGCAAAAGGGAAAGCTCTGTTGAATTCTTGTGCCCCACTTTAAAAATAAAATTAGCACAGAAACCTGTTAAAATTAGCCTCTTGGGCTGGGCAAAAATGTTTAGAATAAATGGTTTTTTGCCTTGGCAAAGAAGAATTTCAAAGAGCCTTGAGTGGCACGGGGGTATCAGGGGCAGGGAGAGGCAAACTCATGTGGCCAAGGGGCACTACTGCTCTGCCTGGCCTGGGAAACTTTGGGGTGGATGCAGGAGAATTCCTGGTGCACAGAGGGGTTTGCTAGGCCACTCCATCCTTCCCCAGTCCTTGTCACAAGAGCCATGGGACCAACTGTTTTCAGCACAGGTTGTTGCTTGTAAACACACACACAATAGGTGTATAAATATATATACATATAAAAATATATATATACACCTGAGAACCTCTAATTTCCTGGGCTGAGCTTTTGCTTTCTGGTGTGAAAATCTGATTTTGCACCATTTAAAAAATTTTCTCCTTCTCCCCCACTGTTACAAAACATCCCGTTACAAAACTAAAGACCTACAAGACTGAAACTCCGACTAAAATGAACCTTAGGCCACAGATTAGCTTAAAATCATGAGGGGGTAGAATTACCAGACTGAGATTGTTTTTCTTTGCCTTTTCTGCCTGTGCTGGGTTTGAGGGAATTTGGTTAAAAGGCTCCATAGCCGTCGCTCCGCGCGGCGACAGCGAAGGCAGGATAGGCTTCGTAGGTCGCATACGTGGCCAAATCTTGTCCCAATGTCACTGCTTGCTTGAGCTGAGTGGCTGTGACAGTGGCAGCTGCATTAGCAATGGTGTATCCTGAAGGAAAAAAAGAAGGAAAACCCGTGGATTAATGAGAATCCATCCAAAACTCACCATCGCCCGGTAGGTTTTGATGGGATGACTTAAAGTGGGAATGGCTTGGGCAGCAGTGAGTTTGTTAGTGGGAATAATGTAAATAAATTAAATAATTAAAGGGAAAAATGAAAGCATTTCCTCACCCATGATTTGTTAAACACAGTGCTGGAAAAACACTCTCTGCTGAATATTTTTTCCTCAGGTTTTGATTGTGTCTGAGCTAATGGTGCTCTGGATGGGTCCACCCTACATGGCATGAGGAGGGCAAGGAAACAGCCTAGAACAGGGGAAATTTGGGCAGGATTCTTGGAGAAAATATAGCTCTGATCCCTTCATAGCCAAAATACAGACAGTTCAGGACAGCCATGGTAGGGAAACCCTCTCAATGCAGTGGCAGGGAGCAATTATTTAGTAGACGGGATTTTTTGGTGGGTTTTTTTTTTTTTTCCGGTTTCTAATGGAAAATGTGGTTTCAACACTTCCAGATTTTCCATGGGAAGATGTAAGCGTTGCTATTTGAGAATGAATCACTGGGAAAACAGCATCATTTGGGGCTTGTTCCTCTGAAGGCAGGGCATAGCAGCTTGTCAAGCAGACCACAGAGTTGTGTTGTAAAAGAATCAGGAATTAAGACAAAGCCTAATTTTGGGAACAGCAGCTGGGGTGTCCATCGGATCTGCTGGACGAGGCTCTGCTGCCAAAATACATCTCCCAGGATCCTGTCTGACCACGTGGGCAATGGGATCAACTCCAGGTCAGCCAGAGCCAAGGTCCTCTTGGTGGGGGAATGGAAATATTGGGCAACAGGGAGCACACATTTCCTCACTGAAGCTGTAACTTTGGGGAAAAACATGAGGAATTCCTTACAATTTCACTGTTGTGACTCTCCAGAGTATTTTCTTTGCACCAGCTAAGCCAGGTGCAACATCTCAAGCAGGAATTGAGAAATCTGGGACTTAAGGCACATCTGCCACCATCGAGAGAGAAATGAGCTGTGAGCTGGGCATGGCCTGAGCTGAGCTTTAGCAAGCCCTGCCTGACCAAGGACCGGTGTGTGCTGCAAGCAGCAGCTTTAGTGCATGTCCATTTGCCAAGCTCCCAAGACAAATAAATAAGGGTGGATGAAAGAAAAGGAGAGATGCTAATTAAGCAGTAAGTGGGGGCTGGATTCAATAAAGAGCCCATTTGGTTTCCACGCTGCGGAAGCTGCACAAGCCCAGACAAATTGATTTTTCTGTGGCTTTTGCGGACTCCTGTGGCAGGAAGCTGGATAGATGTTTTATTTTTTTTTTTTAAATCCATGCTTGAAACACTCCAAACAACTCAGTAGTACTGACTAATGCATTCCTCATGTGCAGCTTGGCACCTGGTGCTGCCTCTCCATCAGAACTACTGTCATGCCGGCGAGCACGGCAAATGTAATTCCTGTGTTTTCCATGATTTTCCAAACTGTTTTGGGCAGTTGCAAGAGCTACGAATTCTGAAACTGGGAGAAAAACCTTCTGTGGGGGTGTGAGAGCTGGGATTGGATCCAAGCTTTCATGGCTGCGTCATTTCTTTGGCAGATGAAATCCCAAGTGCTGGCTCACAAGGGGCTGGGGGTGCTGGGGGAGGACGGAGAGCCCATGAATTCATCAGTCATGGACGATGGCTGACATCAGGGCCATGGTGACATCAGGGCCAGGGAGGGGACACGTGCCAGATGTGGCACTGGGGATGCCAGCTTTGCATCCTGCGTTGTTTCTGGGGCTCCCAGTTGAAGGAGGCTTTCACAAACTGGGAGGAGTGGAGGGGATGTGTGGAGCTGGGATGGGCCTCTGGATGTTGGGATTCCCTGCCCTTGGACACTGCTCTGACCCCCCTGGACATAATCCCCACTGTGGCATTGACCTGAGGGGCTAGGGTAGGAGCAGAGCCCCCCACCCCAGTGCCCCCAGCCTGAATTGCTCTGGGGTGTGGACACAGAAATTTGGGCAGTCTTGGGATAGAGATAAAATCCTTTACAGGCAATAAACTGGCACAGGGTGCCCAGAGCAGCTGTGGCTGCCCCTGGACCCCTGGAAATGTCCAAGACCAGGTTGGACAGGGCTTGGAGCACCCTGGGAAAGTGTGAGGTGTCCCTGCCCAAGGCAGGGGGTGGAATTATGTGATCTTAAGGGTCCCTTCTAACCCAAAGCAGTCCGGAATTCTCTGTTAAAGATGCCAGACACACAAGCAACATGAGTCACTGTTGGGGAACACAACCAGGCCAATCCTCAGTGACCAAAATCTGCTTCATTCTTCACACCCACAAGGAGCCACCAGGAAAAATGACATTCCAGGAGCCTTTTGCTGTAGAGACACGCCCATACCTGGGAAAGCTGGCGCTGCAGGAGGCACCTCTGCCCCTTCCACGGGGATGCCCAGGGTCTGCAGGGTGTACTCTGCCGCGTAGGTCTTGGCCTCGTCGATGTAGGCACTGAGCTTGGGCGGCGTGAAGGGGTGTCTGTGAGCACAGCACAAAGTTAGCTGGGTTTGCTTTCCTTCCCTGCCAGATGCTGTGATCCACTTAGAGCTAGCACCATCCCGCACAGCAAATGGAAGTGTGGCATCCCTGGGCTGGTGCATTACTAGAGCTGCTCTCCTCCCAGCGGTTTCTCCCTCGCTGGGGTTATCGACCCTGGCTCCCATGCTGGACTCGACATCCTTGCAGAGGTTGTTGTGTTTTTTCCATCAAAGAAACCAACCCTACTGCATTTTTTCTTTACAATTCCCAACCTGGGTTTTTCTTTACAATACACAGCAAACAGTGGTTTTGGTCAGAAATGTTTATAATCACATTTGGAGCTGAAATATCAGCATGTGGCTTCAGATTCCTCTCATTTCCCCACAAGGGCTATAGTTCGCTTTCTTTTCCCACAAAAAAGCACCCTTTTGCCTGATTATGTCTGGCTTTCTGTAGTGTTTGCACCAGCAGAGAGAGCACCAAGCACAGTAGTTAATTATACTCTGTGTATGTTTTTCTCCCTGTATTTTTAAAAAAAGTATACATATAAATATATATACACACATTATATAAATATATATTAATACATATATACATATTTGTATATAGATACTAGACAAATATAGATAATCCATATATAATTATATATTAATATAGATAATACAAATGAATGTATATATTAATATATAATACAAATATATAATACATAATTATATATACATCTGTACATATATATGTATATATAATTATATAAACATTTAGAGATGTAATAAATAAAGATACATATAGACATAAATATAGATTTAATAAATAAAATAAATATAAAAATCTAAAATTTAAAAATTAAATTAAATTAATATTTAATAAATATAGATTTAATAAATATTCTAAAAGATATTTAATAAATATTTTTTACAATAAAAGGAAACAGAGACCTGTGTGCTTGGGACTTTGAGGACAGCTGTTAGGTAAAATATAATTTAAAAAATAAAGCCTAAGCCTCAGAAACCTTCCACTAATGACGTACATGGTGGGGTTCTGGCTGGCAAGGGCAGGGATGGTGATTTTGTAGAGGAAGAGCTGTCTTTGATCCTGGCCAATGGCAGAGTGAAGCTGGTACACAGGCTGTCCCCAGTTGTTTTTCTGGCAGATTTCTTCTAAGATCTAGAAGGAAAAAAAAAAAAAAATAGGGATTTGTGCTGGGGTTAATTGCTGTGCAGAAGCCTCCTTGCCTAATTCCAGCCCCTGTGCTGAGCCTTCCCACACAGGGTTTTCAGGGAGTCCTGGCAGCTTCCTTAAAGCTTAGCAAAAAATCCAGTATAAATGGCAGACAGAATACTACACCCACCTTGAAGCGTAAGATTCATCTAAATGCTCTATACTTTAATATCTGTTTAATTCCTGAAATTATTCCCTGTTCAGTTGGGCATCTGAGTCCTATTGCTGATTAGATTATTTCAGTGTGGTGTTCTTTGAATCCTCCTCAGAAGCTCTGTCTCATGGACGTCTGTTTCAGAGGACTAAAGGAACTCGGGTTGCATTAATCTTCTCTGCTCTGCTGCCTCCCTGGCTTAGTGGGTTACAGAGCACGAGAAGTCCAAATAGGCTTCTTTTTAAAAAGAAAAAAGGTTGTGTTTCCATCCAATTAATTCCACGGGCTTCAGCAGGCAATTGCAGCTTTTGAAATACTGAACCACGTTGCCCTCAGCCTTGGCACAGCTGGTCCCCTGGTAATTGGGAATTGCTGTCCAGAAACACTCCTGCTTTGGCTTGGGATTCCAAGGGTTTTTAACCCACTGCCTGTGTGCTGTCCCAGCTGAATTTGGTCACCTTCCATTAAAACAGGTTGCTCTGACCTGGCCTTGAGCATTTCCAGGGATGGGGCAGCCACAGCTTCTCTGAAAAACCTGTGCCAGAGCCTCAACCCCATGACAGCCAAGAACTTCCTCCCAATATCCCACCTATCCCTGCCCCCTGGCAGTGGGAAGCCATTCCCTGTGTCCTGGCACTCCAGGCCCTTGTAAAGTCTCTCTCCATCTTTCTTGCAGCCCCTTCAGGCACTGGAAAGCCACAATTAGGTCACCCTGAAGTCTTGCTGAGGTCTACCTCATTTACAGCTTACATTTGAATGGATTTAAAACTGAAAAGAAAAATTTAAACCTCACTGCTGCTTTTAATTTTTCCACCACAGCTCCAGCTGAAGTTTAGCATCTTGCAGTGTAAAATACTTCATTACATAGGTCAGTTCTCAATTACAACAGTTCATTTTTTCACTGTGGCAACACTTGTTCCCTGCTGTTCCAACTCCCTTATATGTTGGTTTTATAAAAATGAATTTCACCTGCCCTAAGGCCCTGCAGAACCATTCCAGGGATTTCACACCTCTAGTGGAAGGGGCCCTCTACGCATGGCACAAGTTGGTACTAGGTGAGCTTAAAGATCCCTTCCATCCCAAACCATACTGTGATTCTGTGATTTGCCAACAAAACAGACTAAGCGGAGTTTTGCAGGAGGGAAAAATCCCACCATCCAGTTTTCTGGGAGAAAACAAGGATGTTTTCATAAACTTTGGCAAACCGCATGCTGTGGCAATTAAGGTGTTAAAAGGCAAAGACATGCTCCAAAATTCAGGATGAAGTTGTTTTCTCGTGTTGCTCTGCACAATATAAGGGGTAAAGAGTTACCGTCCGAGCTGGACATTCAGAAACTCAGGGAATTTATTGTGGATTTCTCCTCAGCCCTCTTCATCCATCTGCATCAACATGCACAACCAAATCAAAAGTCCCCCTGAGCTGGCAGAGTTTCTGTGCTAGGCTGGGTTATGTCAACAGTCCTTTTGCCATAAATAATTTGAAAATATGCATTATTTTTCCACACATGTGCATTGTTCCCTGGTGAAGCCCCAGGTGATGAATTTTATGTATCAAACCCATCGTTGGTGGGAATTCCTTGGCCTGCAGTGCTTTTATGGCGCGACAGCCAGAACTGGATTAAGGCATTTATGACAACTCTCCCCTGACACTCATGGTGATCTCAAATGTCTTCTCCAACCCCAACCATTCCATGATTCCATGAGGCAGGTGGATATTGCAAGATGCAATGGGTACCACTCATTTTTTAATGTCTTTTGAGACACAAGAATGGATTTATTTACCAGGCCACGGCGCAGATCCAACGAGGGGCCCGTTTTCCCAACACAACCCTTGGGACATGGACGCTCTTTTTGGGGCACGTACCTGAGGGGCGAGTTTGATCCCTTGGGGCTTTAGTGTGACGTGGTTCATGGGGGTGAGCTCCATCCCTGGCAGGAGGTCGTAGAGCTTTTCCTCTCCCCTCTTGTCTCCCTTGAGGTGGTATCCGCGGCCCAGCCCCGGGAACGCCAGGTAGCCGCGGCCTCCCAGGCCTCGGACGCCCGCAGCCCCTACAGGTACATTCATGTAAATTTCTAGGAATGTAAGAAGGCATTAAACCGAATCAAATCACGGGAAAAAGGACCCTGATTCTTGCTGAAATGGAAAAGTTAGCCCCGCTTGCTGGGAGGATTGGGAAGCAGGTGGGCAGGAGGTCCCAGGGCCTGGTGCTGGGATAACACAGGCTCAACACTGACACCCTTTCTCGGATAGGTGAGAGGTTTTGGGGAAAAACTACTTCTTTCTGCCCATTTTTCATCATCTCTGGTCGGTTTTGATTTCAGGGCAGCTCTTTACCCAGCTTTGTAGCTGGAAGCCAGAGAGGGGACAGCTGGCATGTTTTGTTACCCACCACTGTAATTTCACCTCAAAGAATTCACAGCTCACACAAGTTCATCCCTATATCCTCTTTGGTCTTGCCCTATTACACTTCCATTTTTTTCTCAGGGAGCCCTGCTTGGGAGTCTGGGGAGACCACGAGGCAAGAGATGGGTGGGGAGTTACCACGTCTGCTCCTTTCCTAATGCAACCTTTGGAGGAGCTGGTTCACCTGTGTGGGGAAAAGCTTGAGGAACAAGGGGTGTTCCTGCTGCCCTGTCTCCTTCCTGCTAAAGGGACAAAAATTGGCCATCATGATCCTTGCCAGGCCTACCAGGGTACCACACAGAGTCCCAGCCTGCTGTGGGACTTGGCTTAGGGACACAAGGCATCATCTTTGGAAGGAAGATCAGATGACAGAGTTATTTCTTTGCTAGCCCCAAACTTACATCTGCACTGACCAAACAATGTCTGCATTGACATTTAATTTGGGGGTGCATGAGTGGGGGGATTTGATTTGGCTCCAGGCAGGGTCACCCAAGAGTTTTCAGAAATACTCTCTTTTATTCATAGATTGAATTAGTTGAATTAATTGTTATTAACAATCCCCCAAAAGTGAGCCTCCAGCTCCCAAAGCACAGAATGGTTTGCTTGATTCCCTACCCCACACCAGGGCAATGTGACTTCCTTGGAAAACTCCACAGCTTTGGGTCAGAAGACACCAGGACTGGTAAAATTTCCCCTGCAACTGTCAAAGCCAAGAGGAAACATAGTGGTGGTGGTGGCTGGCTGTGGGAGCCAGCTCTGAAGGAGGAAAGAAAAAGTGTTTTATTTGGTCTTCCCTGCTGGGGCAAAACCAGGAGGATCCGTGGATTATTTACACTGGACTGAGGGAAATCTAGAAATTCCTTCCAGGAAAATGTTTTGGGTTTTTTTTTTTCAGCTGGAAGATTGCATTTGGGAAAGACAGGAGCCTAAACCCTGTGTTTTCCACCACAGAAAATGGCATCCAGGAGCTGGGGCAAAGCCAATGTCACCAACACCCGTCTGGGGAGCAGCTGCCCACCCCTGGAGGAGATGTGGGCACGAGGGGAATTGTTTTTCAGTTATCCAAAACTCCAACGGGGAATTACCTCGGACGGAGGGGGGCCGGAGGATGCTCCTGTTGCCGAGCCCCTTGGCGGCGGGGAAGTGCAGGTTGGGGATGGCCGCGTAGGCCTGGGGCGCGTAGAAGACCGGGGCGCCCAGGTAGGCGGTGGCGGGGTCATACAGGTGTCCCAGGGTGTAGGTGTAGTCCCCCTGCAGCACCGGGGCCCTGCCTCCCGTGCCACGGGTGTACCTCACGTAGCTGTCCTTGTCCACCGGCTTGGCCAAGGTCACCTCGATCGGGGAGCCATCCAGCACCTGAGAGAGCATGGGGGAAATGATACCTTGAGGTTTTAGCTTTCTGTTTTTCTTTTTCCTTCTTTTTGATTTTGTGCTGCTCGGGTGTGTGGGTCTGGGTTTCATATAAGGGGATGGTGAGCTCTCTTCACAGAGTAGGGAGACAAAACATTGCCCTCTCTAGTTGGGGACCCAAGGACTGCCAAATCTGGATCTCAGGCCCAAGAGTATAAACAACGTGGACTGGAGAGAGAAAATAAGAAGGATGGGACTTCATGGGCTGGGGCTATAATTGGACAATTAGCTCCAATATACTAATGGACCAAAATTTATAAAAATGTGAGATCTTTTGCTATTTTTGCTTCCATCTTGGAGCCATCCATTTCTCTGGTCCTGCCACGGTGTGGCCTGTGAAGGCCCTTCAATAAATACCCTTTTATTCCCTTAACTCTGTCTAGCCTCTGTTCCAGCTGTCTAAGGCAGTAGGGGAAGTGGTTAAAAGTGCTTGATGGAAATCCAACCTATGGGGAAGCTGCCCCCACGTCTTAATGGGATGGGAAGGCGGAGGAAACTACCCCAAAAAAGCCCTGGATCTCCTTCACATGGGTGGAGGCTTAAGCTGAGAGTGCCCAGCCCTGGCTCCAGCTGGGAGAGGCTCCTTCAGCAAAGCCTTCAAAAGGCCTCACTTCCCTGCACAGCAGCTCGTAAGGCAGAGAGATTCCAAGTGCTCCCATGGAGAACAGCAGGGGCACTAAAAATAGGAGCAGGGTTAACACCTCTTTGGGAACAGCTCTGGCTTTACAGTGAATTACATGCAGTGCAAGAAGAGCTAAATTCAGCAGCCTCCTCGCAAATCTGCATCTGAACTCGGAGCAGATGTTTGGGCTGACCTCGTTTGTCCCAGTTTGCCATTCACACGCTGCCCTGCCAGTGTTTTTGTTGGCAGTCTGGAACAAGGATGTGAGTGTGAGCCAGGGGGGGATCCTAACCCCTCCTTTCCTAGTTTTTCTTTCAGCTTTTCCTGGTTTGGTTTTTTTTTTTTTTTTTTCATCTGAGCTTCGAGCTAGAGCCGGGCAAACACTTAGCACAAATACAAGGAGCCAAAATTAATCGTTTGTGTTCAACAGAGCTGCTGAAAAACAAATTCAGGAGTATAAAAGCAACCAGCAAAGAGCAAATTGGGATAACACCTCCAGGAGGGTTTTGAAGCTAATAAAGCAGGTGGCTTTGTATAATATACTGCACCATAAGCTCCAGGAATTAACATTTACAGCAGCTTTACCTTCCCATTCAAGGCTTTCATGGCTTCCACTGCGTGTTCTCTTTTATTAAAGTGCACAAAGGCGTAGTCTCTAATTTTCTTTACTCTCTCCACTGCACCTGTGGAAAACATTGGAATATTACTGGGAAGTGGGGATTAGTCAGAAAACAGAGATCTGAAAGAGTGGTTCTGTCAGGTTATGAGCCCCTGGAGAGCAAAGGCTGAGCAAAGGTAGAAGAACAAGAGGTCAGTGTCCCCTCACCTCTTTGGATATTCCAGAGGAAAATCAATATATAATGGTTGTAGCATTTCAAGGCAAACTAGAAGTGCTTGGGATCAGACACCAGTAAGATTCCCATTAAACTGGAGTGGTTTTCTCCTGTCCAAACCATTCTGTTGGACTCTACCTTTGGTCTTGTGTCTCCCTTCTGTGACAGCCCACGCACCAGCTGTGGGAACATCCCCATGTGATCTCCATCTCCCTGTTTTTGTACGTGCATTGGAGGCAGCCTGGGGAAATTTGGTGCTTTTGCCATAAAACAAGGAGGTTTTTCTCCTTGACAGCCAGCTCAGGATGTTCAGGAAGAATAAACAGCCAGCCCTGCCCAGGACAGAGCAGCCCAGGGCACTGGGATGGGCTGGGGCTCATGGAACAGCAGGTCTCTCCCTAAGAAACAGCCTCTCCCCAGGAAACAGCATTTCCCATGTCAGTGGGGCTTCCCTGGATGCCCCAATTCACCTGGACATGGCCCAGGTCAGGCTCTGCAGCTGAGGGTTGGCCCTCCTGGGATGGGGCTTGGGCTGGAGAATCTTTCTTTCAGCCTGAATCTTTCCTACATCCAATTTATCCAAAGTAATTCAAATGTAAATGACTTCTTGTTCTTCTTTTCTAAGTCCATGCCCCACAATTTTCCCTTTCCTTTGTCAGCTGCTCTGCTGCCAGGAACTCATACTCTGCACTGAGGAATCTGTCTCCAAAATAACCCCACCAGTCCTGTCCCCCACAGCCACAGCCTTCAGCCATTTCTTTAATTCCTCATCTTCTCTGCTCCTGTGGCTTGGGAAGTACAACATCAGTCAGCCCAGCCTCCTGTAAAACCCCAGAAATGTCCTTTGGAAACATGGCTAAGGGATGCTGAACAACTCTTCTGTTGGCTTCTTAGCTCCTAAAGCTGAACAGGTGCACAGGGAAATGTCATATTGCCACAAAAAGCAATTACTTAGAAAAATGCAGGAGGAAACGAATTTCTTTGGTGTTCAGGGGAGTCATTAGGAGCTGCAGAGGGCTAAATGAGCCTGTCCCAGCCCACAGCCCAAGCAGGCTGCACGTCTTGGAATGACACAGGGATGGTAAAGTGGCACTTTGTGTCCTTCTGGGACAGAGGACGATTTTCCAAGCCTGAATTTATGGGAGCTATATGCTGATGCTTTGTTTAGAAGTGGAAGCTTTAATGAACTCGCTGTGTTTTGAATATCCCCCTTCTGCCTCCTGGAGAGCATTCCAGGACACCAATCCCAAGCCAAAAATTCTGCTCTGCCCTGCCTCTGCTTCTGCTGGGCCAAGCAATGTGATACCCACCCTTGGGTCAGCTCCATGTGGAGCCCATCCATGGGACATTAGAGAGGGAGCACTGTCCCTCCAGCACATGGGGACAGCACAATCCTCCTGCTGGGAACTCCACCAGGCAGGAGGAATTTCCCTGGGATTCCTAGAGAGCAAGGGCAGGGCTTTTCAGAGAGACAGCTCTGCAGAAGTCATCAGGCTGTGAATTTTGCACAGATTTAAGGGGTGCTACTTGTCCCAACTTGAGGAGCACAAGCAGCCTTCCTGGGCCTGCCTGTGGAGCCCCCAGAGATGCGGCAATTGCTGTGTCATTGGAAGCTCTGGATCATTTTTTATTGCATGATTTGTTGATGTCAAAACAGCTTCTTAATGCCCTGGATCCAAGGTAATTTAAGCTAAGTAGTGCTGAAATGTGGCTCAATGGGTGAGGCAGAGAACCACGGCAGGGCAATGAATAATTTCACATCCTTGTGATCTCACTGTAACTTAAACTGCATTTTCTCTCCCCAAAGCTGGAAGTTTTGCTGCTCTAATGCACCCATTCCTGATTTTAGCCACCAAAATCAAAGCTGTCCATTAAAAAAAAAATTCCAACATGAACGCTGAAATGATAAAAGGAAAATGAAAGATGATGCAGAACTTGTGTTGTTATAGTGGAAAACTTCTTAGGAGCAAAGCAGATGAGTGTTACCAAAGTGTCAAAAGGCCACAAATGTGTTTCTGGGGAGTGTGAGCTTGTTCAAAGCTCGGGAGCAGAACTGGGTAAATAAAAGAAGGAAACAGTTCAGAGAGTGGGATAACATAAATTTAACTCAGGAGTAAAATATGGGTTCTGCAACAGCTCGATGGTGGCTAAAAGTATGAGCCAGAAATGCTGCAAGGACACAAGGAAAACTCATGAAGACCTTTGTATTGCAGCCTAGCCCAGAAAAAGGCATGAAATGAGAAGTCAGAGGCAGAAAACTGAAGCTCTGCAGTGTATTTTAAAAAATTAATAGAAGGAAGCTAACAGGAGTGAGATGAAAGGAGATTTCACATTGCCAAGCATCAGTTCCTAATGCCTAATGGACTGTGTGGCTTGCAGAGCTGCAGAAACGGGTTATTTTTACTTTGTTGGTTTTGGGTGGAATTTCCTAAAGCTGGAGCAACTCAGAAGTAAAATCTCCTCTGAAAGCCAGCAGGATTTTTATTCCCAACTAATCTCCCCGCTTTTTTTGAAAAATCTCACCCTAAGTGCATGTAAAATATGCCACAAAGGAATATTAAATTAAATGGAAAGCACTAATTATTCACCAATTTACATGAGAACTGGGGGGGATGTATGAAAATGAGTTCAGAATTTAGATAGATCAGATAAAAAGGAGTTGTATTAAATCACTCTATTTTTATCACCGTCCCTTGCCACAGAAGAATGCTGAAGTCACCCAGCTGCTTCACCAACTCTTTTTAAGAAAGACTAAGTGATTCCAAAGCATTTTGATGACACAGGGCAACCCCATGCAGCATTTTGGGTCTCTTCCAGTTGCCAATCACCCTCCTGCATGGTGGCTGTAGCTGGGAATTAAGCAGCCTTTAATGGGATGGCATTTTGGGTGGGAGCCTTCAGCCCCATGACAATTTTTGTGGCATTTCACACGAACAGTTCTCAGCAGAAAAACACAGCTATTTTTATCTCTTGTGGCATTTTAGGAAGGCAGAAACATTTCCATTTGCAGCAGTGGTTTAGGAGGCGCAGCACCAGCGGGCTCCTACCTGGTTTGATGCTGTTGAACTCCTTCTCTATGGTCTCCTCGGTGGTCGAGAGCATGAGGTTCCTCACGTAGAGGATCTTCACTGAGGACATGGTGTCCTCATCCACCTCCACCTCTGGCTCTGCCCAGTCCACGGCGATGGGGTGTCCCCACAGCTGGATCCTTCCTTTAAAGGAACAGGCATGGTCAGTGCTGGGGGCTGTGCTTCCTCTCGCTCATGCTCACGCTCTATCTCACAGCAGAACAGGCCAAATTCTACAGACAGGACCCAAAAAAAGCCTTCCTAGCTCTGCCTTTCCAAAGGCAGATGGGCACACTGGGAATGGCCTCCTGCAAGTACCTTTGGAGCCTCCAGAACTGCAAGAAGTGAAAATATGGAATAATTCACTTTAAGATTGCATTTCCTGGAGCGCTCCCTAAAGGGAAATATTTTAATGCACTTATAAAAATCCCTTTTGGCCGGCAAACTTGGGATCCTGCCATCCCAGTGGGATGGAATGAAACAGCAAAAGCAAGGACATCTCTGTGTGTGTTTGAATTCGTCTGGGGGAAGCTGCAGCAGAAGAAAGGAGGGACACAAAAAGTCCTGATGCATAAAACAGGGGGTGGGTGCATGTGGTCTTTGTGAGGATCCCCAGGCCGAGGGAAGAGATGAATCTAACTCCATGTTCTCAGAAGGCTGATATGATATGATATGATATTAAAGAATGCTATACTAAAACTATACTAAACTATAGAGAAAAGGATACATCAGAAGGTTTAACAAGAATGAATAATAAAACCTCATGACTCCTCAGAGCCTCGACACAGCTGGCAGGTGGTTGGCCATTAAGTTAAAACAATTCACATGGAGCCAATGAAACATGGACCTGTTGGTAAACAATCTCCAGACCACATTCCAAAGCAGCCAAATACAGGAGAAGAGAATCAGATAATTATTATTTACATTTTTCCCTGAGGCTTCTCAACTTCCCAGGAGAAGAAATCCTGGCAAAGAGATTTTTCAGAAAATATCACGGTGACAGGTGTGGAGGATAAACCCAGGGACTGTGTACACTGGACTTCCCTGCTGAGGGGCAGGGAAGGAAAAAAGCAAACAATTCACTTTGCTGAATGCTGATGTTGCAGTTGGGTTGGTGTCCCTACTCCTCGAGGCTTAGCTCCAGATTCAAAAGCACCTGATATGAGAATTTCACTGAACTCCAGGGAATTTTCAGAAGTCCATATTTCTGTCTATCTGCATGCATGTGTATTACCAAGGTTGCCATTTTAGATTTGCCATTAAATTTTAGTAAATTCTGATTTATGGTTCTGTTGAACTTACAGAAAATTCTATTGAATTGGTTTAGAGGTGCTAAATTGGTCAGTTTATTAAGAACTGCTAGTGTCGATTGGATATTGCTATGAATAATAAACCATGATTAGATATTGTTATGAATAATAAACCATTTAGACCTAAATTGTTGAGCCAGTCTGAAGCTGAGATTGGCAAGGGGGTGTTTTCTGCTGGGACTCAACCCTTGGTATCCTTCACTTTTTCCCTCCTCACCTCTCCACATAAATCAGAGTAATCTGATTGCTTCGTCTGATATTTCTTTAATTGCTTTAATCTGATATTTCCTTGTCTGCTTTATCTGTATAAGTAATAGAGTGACTCTTGCTATCAAACTCTGTCACAAATTTATTTAAACCTGCTTTTGCCCAGACCTTGCTGGTGATTCTTTGAGTGACCTAAACCACACATTTGCAGCTGAGAGGACAAAGAAAATCCTGCAAAACACTCTAAAAAGGCATCTCTGCTTGGACAACCTATTTAAGAGGGGGTGGGAGCTCCGAAATGAGAGGGTGAGGATAGAATTTGGAGGCTTATTGGAAATGTAAATGATCAAACTAAATAGGAAGGTGCTGTTCCCTTGGAATCCCTCGGGAATAAGCTGGGATTTGTGGAGCGAGGCTGTTCTGTGCCCCTTTCTGAATTGCTGTTTTCAGTTCAAGGGTGGAAATAATGAACTGATTGACTTGCAGCAAGGAGGTCAACTTGGTGTCTCTTGCTGAAAATCAGTCTATCTCCACCCTCTTGTTTAGCCAGAGACAGGAGAAAATTTAAATTTTTCAATGAAAACTCTCAATTTTTGAACACTTTCTCTACAGAGCTCCCTCAAAAAAGCAATGAGGTTCAGTTTAAAGGAAGCATCTGATAATGATATTCCATCTCACATCAGCTGGAGACACATTCAGCTCTGGCTTGAAACTTTTTTCCAGTTCCTGCCTTATGCTTGAGGTTCAGAAGACTCTGGCTCCTGCTCAGGCCTTTGGAATTCCCTAAATTGTTTACTGAGATGTCCCTGAACTGGAAACCCCTCATGCATTGCACATGTCTGCTCAGGACTCTGAGTTCCTTCCATCTGTCTCGCTGTCTTTGCTCAGGATTTCAAGTGCTTTGCCTGTTTCTGCCTTCCTTTTCCACATAAAAACCATGGGAAAGTCGTGCTGGAGAACAGAATGTGCCCCCACCATCAGGGAGATGCTTAAACTGAAGAAGAAAATGCAGAATAAAAGGCAAAATTGTCAGTGTGACACATCTCCCTGTAGAAAAGCAATTTCAGTGCTCAAAATCTTGTTCATTTTTTTACATAATAAGAAAAAAAAATGAAGTGATGCAGGGTATTTAATGTATAAAACAGGTGAAAAGGTGGTTCTGAACAAATCTCAAACCCCAAGGTTTGCTGAATGCTTCCAGCAGCCAGTGTGTTCAACAAAGCAGTGCAGGAGCATAAGAAAGCAAGAGAAAATTGGTGAAATCCCTGCAGAAGCACTTAATGTTAAGTGACTTCTTCACCTAATACCTGCTAAACCTCTCTCTCCTTCACAATGGTCTTTGGCTGTCTCCCAGTGCTGAATTTCATAGATGCACTCTTTAGCAATTCCTCATTCCAGTTTTTTTTTTGGCCAAAATATCAATTTTCAGTCCATGCTGCAGCCTGAATCTGCTCTTGGATTATTTCCTGAGTGATTCTCCCTTGTGAGAAATGGATTTGTAAAGAATTTTAAAAACTTGATAGAATGTTTACACAGTTTTGTACATCTGCATGTAAACACTGAGATAAGGTGTGTTGACTTAGGAAGGTCATCGAATAGAGATGATAAAGTTGAGAGATTGAACTAGAAACAAGTTTTAATAAGTTTTAAAATATGTAATAAGTTTTAAAATATGTAAAAAGACTAGATATTTTAGAGAATTAGAACTGTGAAAGATGTATTGTAGTAGTGCTATTTGGGGTAAAAATATAGGTGATTATTGTTAGAAGTAATAGTAGTATTGTGTAATAACAGCTAACAGGTTGAAAAATATTTATATGTATTGCAACTAGGAAATAGGTTAGTTTCTGATGAAATGGTGTTAGGTTTTATATTTCTTATGTCTCACTTTTTTATCGAGACTAATAATGGAATAAAATCTTTTAAAACCCCTCCCAGTTGCCCCAACTCTGTAAAAGCTGGAAAAACCAACACTCCCTGAGAGGCCAAAGAAGAGTCTCTGTTTTATGCTTAACCCAAGCACAGGGCCAAGCACATCCCACAGCAGAGCTGCATGGATACACAGAGCCAAACCCATCTGGCTGGATTTCCAATAAGCCCAAGCTCCTGAAGGATGACCATGGATCATCAGCACGGTGCTGCAGCAGGAGCTGCAGTGAATCCCACACCCCATGGTGTGTTGGGAGATCTCCTGCTCTGGGTGCCTCTAGCAGAAAACTTCTCTCTGAGGGCAGAAAACCCAGCCACATCCACTTCCTTGGATTCCTGGATGTTGTCACCACACCCCTGAGGTGAAGCCATGTGGATGCCATGGGACGGAGAGAGAGGAACAGCAAGCGCTTCTCACAACAGCTTTAATGAGTTGTAAGGACGTGATACTTGTTAAGTGTAAACAATCTGCAGGTGGTGTTTTCCTGCTTTGTCTTTCTGCTCTTCTCAAGCTCAGTGTGCGAGGAAGATGTTTTTGTTAGCCAATCAAATAAAACCTATCGTGTCACTGTATAAAAACCGCACGGTTCTCGTGAATAAAACCTTTGCTCTTTCCACAATACTGCCTCCCTCCTGTTCCTGGGTTATACTGGTGCAAAAGTGACAAAGCCACCCCTCGCCATCCCTGCTGACCTGGGAGCAGCTTCCTCCTGGCCATGGCCGCTGCCCGGTGGCTCTCGTACTCCACGAAGGCAAAGCCCCTGTTTTTGGTTTTATCGGCTGCACTGGGGTAGACGATGACGTCCACGACGCCGTCCGTGACCTTCTTCATCTCTGCCAGGATTTCCTCCCTCTTCTTGGTTTTGGGGATGCCCCCCACGAATAGGCGGCAGTTGTCCACGCTGGCACACACGCCCAGGAGTCTCCCGTTCCTGGAACAACGGAGCTGCTTTGTCAGGAGCCAGGAGCCAAGAGAGGGGAAGGTTAAAGCAAAGCCCCTCTCTGTCCCAAAACACAAGGCCAAGCACAAGGCTTTGGTGTCAGCTGCTCTTTGGGATACTTCAGTGGCCTTGCTTGGTGCAAAAGCTGCCACTCTGCTAAATCTGACATCAGAGTCAGGCAGCACAGCTGAAATGAAGGATTTGAGGGAGAAACCAAAGCCAAATTTTGCTTTTCCTGCTTGAGGTTCTCCCTCTTGCTGCCACCAGGCAACTGCACCCCCCCAACCGAGGTCCTTGTGTTGTCACCAGCGGCTTGTGGCTTCCCACTCACCTCATGACTAAGGTTTTGGGGGAAGAAAATCCTTTGTCATGGAGAGGCACCATTTGAGGGCTCACCAATGCCAACTTTTGTGCAGACCCCAAAATAAAAACTTCCTTTTTTCACCTTTTTGGGGTCCAAGTATCTGTTATAGGCCGGAGAAGTGCAAAACTTCTTTAGAGGAGTCCTTGGAACCAAGGAAGGAAGTGGAGAGGGTGGAGGTGGATGAAGCCTGATCCCCAAGACCTTCTAACCTCTGCTATAAAGGACATCTCCAAGACCTCCATGTGCCTTGATCTGCTAAAGCAGTTCACAACCCATCATTTTTTTTTAAATTAAAAAAGCCATACAGTTGCCAGAATGGTTTATCTCAAAAGGTTTTTAAGCAAAGGTATCAACTCATCCCACTTTGAACTGGCAAAAAACATTTAGCATGGTTGAAATCCAACCAACACGTATTAATGGGCCCATCTGTTGTTGATTTCTGGGTGTTTTGTTCCCTCAAACATGAGGGCTTTTTCTGTTCTTTTCCTTCATAGGAAATGCCATTATTTTGCCAATTGGTTTCCATCCTATTTCACCATTTTTTGCAATTAGTCCATCTACCAGAACATATCTGCACAATCTGTCACGAGGGAGACAGTGAGTAGAATAAATCAACAACAAACAACCTGAGGGGAACATAATAAACAGTGCTGGTTAGGGGAAAGTTAATTTGATCCAAAACAGAACACTTTTTCCCAATGTTCTGATAGATTTTGTTGTTGTTGTTGGTTTTCTTTTTTTTTTTTTTTTTTCTTTTTTAATTGTGAAGAAGAAATTTCCTGTGAAAGATGTTGGTTTTAATGAGCAGTGACTGCACAGGGAGACAGGAGGAGATTTCCCCTCAAAACACAGGGATCTAAATAATCTTGCTCTGGACTGCCAGGAAAAATATCACTCACATGCCAAAACAGACTGATACATATAATTTAAAGTTTCTTTGAAGGTGTTTTTGCCTTGCTTACCTGATTTCATAATTATTGAGTGTCTTTATTGCATTCTTGGCCTCCTGTTTATTGGAGAAAGTCACAAAGGCGTAGCCCCTGTTGTTGCCATTGAAGTCCATCATCATCCTCATCTCGTAGATTTTGCCAATCTGCCAAATTAGAGAGATTTGTCAGCAAGGTGGGAGTGTTTAGAGAAGACTGGAATTTTAAAGTTCCATGGGCCTGGACACCTTCCATGGACCAGACTGCTCCAAGTCCTGCCCAGCCTGGCCAGGAATCAGCTCAGTTCAGCCCTGAAATGCAGCTCTGACCATCAGTAACTGATCAGCTGCCACCAAGCCTCACCTTTTCGCAGAGGGGGATAAGTTCATCCTCAAAGAGGTCTCGGGGCAGTTTCCCAATGAAGATCTCACAGCCCCTCTCTGGTGGAGGGCCATCCCAGCCTGGTGGTGGTCCTCCATATTTCCTCTGCCCATTTTCCTGCCGTGGAGGAGAAGAAAAGAAAGGTTCAGCTATTGATTTTTAAACATGGATCAAACCAACCCTGTCTCTGGGAATGACCCTTGAGGAAGACACCCTCCTTCCCTTCAGCTCCTCATGAATTCAGCAGTGTCCTGCTGCCAAGGCTGGGATACTTCAGAAGTCCAAGTGCAGACAGTCAGTAACTCTCTGGAAAATGGAAATCCTCCTGGCTCTGGCAGGGGAATCTCCGTAGGCTGTGTCTTAGTTGTGGGCTGGGTAATGGAACACTTGCAAAATTTATAACTTGTCTTGATTTTCATCTAGTCTGAGGATGACACCTGCCCACCCAGGAGGTCCTTCTGGCAGAGAGCAAATCTTGGCCCCAAATAATATTCAAAGAGGTGAAGGCCAGTCAGTATTTCCTTTTTGTCTCTTTTTGCTAGATGAGTGCATCTCTGTTCTCCTCCCCTATTTTCAACCTTCCTTCCTTCCTTCCTTCCTTCCTTCCTTCCTTCCTTCCTTCCTTCCTTCCTTCCTTCCTTCCTTCCTTCCTTCTTCCTCACCTGTCTCTCCCTACAGTGATTTCTGACTCCCAAAGGAGCTGGGGCTTCAGGAATTTTTCCATTTTTGGCTCCATGACCATTTCTTTAGTCACTTCCCATTCTGGGATTATTCCAGGAAAGTGAATGCCTTGTACAGCTGTTTTAAGAGGAACGTAAACAAACAGAGATCCTCACAAGAAAACAGGAATATACTACAAACCCTTTTAGTTTTCTCAAGCCTAGAACAGGACCTGAATTATCCACTCTCATTCCTGTTTTTCCAATGTTTTCAGCAGTGATGGAGTCCTGGGGACATTTGATTTTATGTCTGAGCTGATGTGTGACGGAGCACAGCAAGAAATAAACCCTTCCCTAAATTTGCAGTGGCTTCACTTGTGGCTGGAAGGCAGCACCTCAACAAACCCTTCTTGACAAGGTGCTGGAGGGCAAGTGGACATCAGCCACTTGCCAAAGATGAACGACTCAGGTGTGCACTGAGGAAAAAGATGTTTGGCTGCATCCACAGACAGGCTGGAAGAAAAATCCCTAAGGTACAGGGAAATTAGGAGAGGGATGGGAAAGAGAAAAAGATAAAATAGCAAGGTTGGAATGGAAAAGGAAAGGAGAGAGAAGAGCACAAAGATGCTGAAGTGTGTGGGGGATTGGGAGCTGAAATCTGTGCTTTAGGAGTGAGCTTTGCCAGATGTGACAGTAGGGAAAACTGAACCCCAGGATAATTCCAAGGCCACGTGGACAGGGCTTGGATTAACCTGGACCAGTGGAAGGTGTCCCTGCCCATGGCACGGGGCAGGAACGAGATGGGCTTAAGGAACCCCCCAACCCGTGTGATGCTAAGAAAGCCACAGTAAATCTAAGACATACAGGAGTCCCTTTTCTTATGGGTCACGTACAGCAGAAAGGGCACAAACCCAGCTGCTGGCCTGGCCCTGGAATGTGCTTTTTCCCAGGAATCTCAGGTTGTGCTTGGGGCTGATGTGCCCTCTAGTGCCATGCAAAACAAGGCAAGGTTCACGGCCTCCACTTGCCCAAAATCCAGTGTTTACAGTCCCTTCTTCCAGGATGCAAGGCTGGTCGTGGCATTGCCCAGTGCTTTCCAAGGCTGAGCTTGTTTTGGTCATGGTAGCCAAGAAAGGCTTTCTCAGGTGGGTTTGAAGGTCATGCCAGGCTCCACCTGCCCTAACCACAGGAGGTTTGGATCTTGGAGACCTTGGAGCCTAAACTGGGAGCAAACCTTGGAGCAGGTGAGGCACCTGCCTCCCATGTACCTGTGCAAGGATCTGCACAAAAGGTGACGTGCTGGACTTCCCACCTCATCCCTCTTCTGAAACTTTGCTCTCTGGGTTTTCTTGGGTTTTGAGACACCAATCCCAACCTTTGCCAACATTTAGCAGTGCCCAGGGTTGTCCTACCCCCACCTTCATTGTAATTACCCATCAAGCAATTCCTTGAGGAATAAGACCCTGCTTTGTGAAAAACAAGGCAGTGATGGTCAGCACGGATGTGAGAGAGAAACAGAGCGAAAAGGAACGAGCAAGGAGTGATTCAGGAGCATGGATTGGCTGCTCACGCCCCCAGTGAAGCTTCAGGATGAAGCACAAAAGGATGGGACCGTGAATTCCTACCTGGATCAAATTATATCCCGTTCGCTGAATTAACGCACGGAGGGCGGCTTCTTTCTGTGTGCCGGTCAATCCATCCCCGGATTTGTGATTTGATTCCATTGGGAGTGATTATCAGCAAAAAATCAGGTTAATTAGGGGTGCTCACTGCAATCAAATTTAAGATAAATTAAATCAATTAATACAGCTGGGAGGAGAAAGTCCACCCTCTTGAGAAAGTTTAGAGGGTCGCTCTTCCTAAATCAGTTATTTCGGAGATAAAACCAAAACAGAACAGCAGAGACCATGGAAAAAGCAGAAATGTCCCCCTTGCTGAATGGAAATTAAAAGCATTTAAACCCACAGTCACATCCTGGGGAGAGGCAGAGGGAATTTGTAGCCTTTTGGTGGTGCCTCAGGAGATAAAAATATGTAAGTGCCTAATCCTGCACTGAGTACACAACAATGAGTCCTTCAGGCCTCGTGTGGTGCTGACACTGGGAAGGAAACCTTGTACCAGCCATGCCCAGCAGTCTGTGAGAAACAGGACCTAGCCCCAGATTTGGCCTGTTCTTATTTTTGAGAATAAAAAAACACAGGAGAACGTCAGGTCTTAGCTCAGCTCATGGCTGAAGCTACCTTGCGTTCAGACATTTTGATTCAGAGCTGCAGTTTTAGGTCATGGCTGATTCAAGATTTTTTGGTTTGGGTTGGGTTTGGGCTGAAAACATGATAAAACTGGAATCTGAATCTGACTTGGGCTGCACCCTGGGAAAGGGACATTAACAACATGGATTCACTACTGGTGATTCCCTGTTTTCCCTGAATGCTGAGCTTTGAGCTTGCCCAAAATCCATTTATGTGCTCCAGGCACATAAAAAAAAAAAGCAGGGTCTGTAGGTGCAAGGCTGAGCTTGAAGCCTCAGGCTGACACTGAACAGCAGCCAGAACAAACCCAGTTCCCTCCTCAGGTCCTTGTAGCCAGAGCTGGGGGCCCATGGCACCTAGGACTCCATGCAGGAAAATGCTAAATTCTGTCATCCAGCATGGTTGTTATTGCCTAAAATTGCATTTTATCGCAGAAAGGTGGAGGCAAGGAAAGGTGGTGCCTGCCAGGCTTGCCTGGAGAGCAAACAGGGCCAAAAGGGCCTGGGAAGGCTGGACTGGGGGTGAGGGGGATGAGGCACCCTGGTGGGGATGCTGGGCAGAAGGGAAATCCAGAGCAGCGAGAAGGTGGTAGGAAGGTGGATTGCTGTGCCTGCACCCTGAGCTACTGCCAGATTTTGGGAGGAGACCCTAAATCCCCCTGCTACTGCCAGATCTTTGGGAGGAGACCCTAAACGATCCCCCTGCAAGCAGTCCCTTGGCACACATAAAGTGAGCACTGCATGTAAAGAAATGCAGGTAAAGAAGTGCAATCTATCTGGTTATAGCTGATTTTCTGAGCGTGTCATGGTTTGGCAGAAATGACAGAAAAAGCCTTTTCCATCCAGCTTTTAACACCAACCTAATTTTTATCAGCTGCTTTTGTGGCTACTGAGGGAGGAGCCAATGTTTGGGGCAGCCCACTTTGTTTTTGGCCATTACCTGCCCTGTGCTGCTATGCCTCTGTGCCCTGAAGTCTTCAACAGCTGCTTTCAATTGAAAATGGATTATTCCCAGCACCAAAAATGGGAAACAAACCCAGGAATTTGGAGGATCTCAGTCTTGTGTCACTCAGGCTCTGCCACACTGAGATCCAGAGACTGTGACTCCAACACTGGCAAACAGAGGCACCTCTGTAATGCCAGATTTCAGATCTATTTAATGCAGAGGTTGGTCAGGCTCTTCTGATTTTATTTTTATTTTTCCCGTGCTCCCAGGTTCTCCAGTGTTTTAATTACTACCAACGTGCAGAGGCTGGGACATGGATCATCCAGTGCAACACCTCTCTCATGTCTCTAATTTCCAAATGAGTGTTTTCTGCAGCAGCTGGAGCCCAGTTATGGGTTTGTTTTGCCCTTCTGAGAGCAGCAACAAAACCCTGCTGATGTTTGTGGTGTCTGTGCCTGCAGCCCCCTCTGGAGCTGGCGTTCAGCAGGCACGGGGCAGGATTAGCACACTGCTGTGCAAAAACCACTTGGAGCCTTTCCCAGGCTGCTGCAGAAAGTGAACGTTAAAAAAAAAAACAAAACCAAACAAAAAAAAAAAAACAAAAAAAAAAAAAAAAAAACAAAAAAACCAAAACAAAACAAAAAAAAAAACCCCAGCTAAAATCCAGACTGGCTTTGCACCCTCCCCTGCCTGGGCAGAGACACCCCATGTCCATCCTATAGGGGAAAGCTCTGTCACACTGCAAATCTGGCCCCTTATATTCTCCTTTTGGAGCATCCTGGCTTCATCAGGGATCAAATTGCAGCTCTCGGTGGTTCTCTCTCAGCCCTGAGACTGGACTTGAGCGCTGCCGGCCTGGATTCCTGCAGGGCTGCTGCTTTGGATGCACTTGCACGTGGATCCTTTAAGGGCACGCATCCTCTCCTGCAGGGAGGAGGCATTTCCAGGAAGGTCTCTCTTCCCCCGGGGGTGATTTCACGCTGAGCAGTGAGCACAAGCCTCGGGGCTGGCGGATGGATGGGAACAGAGCATCTCCCCGGCTGATGCCTTTCCAGCGGCAGCAATATCCCTCTCTGCCTTCTGCCTTATTAGATAAGACAGCCGAGCTCTTCTGGGCTCTTCTCGTAAGGCATCCTGCAAAGATTTCAGCTCTAGACCAGCATGTCTAGACACTGGTGCACTCCAGGATATGCTGAAGCAATCCACTTGGAATTAGGGAGCAAGAGCATTCAAGGTTGCAATGAAGTATTAACCACAGCCTGCTGCAAAACCCGGGCTCTGGGGGGGCTCCTCACAAAGATCTGGTTTTAATCTGTGCCTGGTGCTTCCACACATTCCTGCCTTTGGAGAAAGCCCCAAGGAAACAACCCTGCCCCATAGAAGAGGGGCAGGATGCCCTTCCTCAGGAACGGACTCACCTGGAGCTGTGGAGCTGGTCCTGGTGGGAGTGGGGTCCAGCTGGAGACCCCCACCCCAGAGTAGCACCAGCCCCTGCAAACCTCCACTCCTGATCCCGAAGGAATCTGCAAGGCCCCCTCCATGATTCCAAAGGAGGCCAAGACTGCAGTCTGGACTTCCTGACGCATGGACACAAGCCTGTCCCAAGGAGTGGGCAGGATGCCCTTCCTCAGGAATGGACTCGCCTGGTGCTGGGAGTGGGGTCCAGCTGGAGACCCCCACCCCAGGGTAGCACCAGCCCCTGCAAGCCCTCACTCCTGATCCCAAAGGAACCTTCAAGCCCCACTCCCTATTCCAAAGGAGTCCAAGACTGGGCTGTGGACAACCCCGGTATGGTTTGGTAGCCCCACTCTGAGCAGCCAATTCTCACCTACTAATTACCACCCAACGTCACTCACAGGTAATTGACAAGCTGAAGGGCTTTCCCCCATCAGTGGGGTTTCTCCAGGATGGAACAGCAAACCTGTCTTTTCTTTGAGAAATGAATCCCAACCCAACAAATCCCAAGCCCAGGAAAACAGGCTTTCCACCCTGCAGTTTTCCAAGCACTTCTTCTCTCCCTCCTTCCTTCCTGCCTCCCTTGAGTTAAATATCTAAACTCTTTTTTTGGACAGGGCACTTTTCCACCTCTGCCACCCAAGGGTCCATCTCATGGAATCACAGAATTATTTAAGTTGGAAAAGCCCTCTCAGATAATCACATCCAACCATTAACCCACCACCAAACCACGTCCCCAGGTGCCACATCCATGTGTCCATCAGTGCATCCAAATGATTTCCAGGATAGAAATCACGGGGGGATGTTTTATTTCTGAAACTTGTGGAATTCCAGCCCTTTCCCCTTATTGCAGGCACCAGCCCCAGTCCTTGTAGCAGTGCCAGTGTGCTGGGATATTTTTTTTTACTTTAAGGGAGGAGAATTCCTGTCACCCAGAGGAAACACGACTACTTTCTCTCCTTCTTTGTTTCCTGAGCCAGGAATCAATTAGCAAATCCACCCTCACAGGGGAAAACCCCCCTTTCATGGCTGCTGATGGAAAATGTGAATGACTGCAGCAAATTCAGGCAGTGCTTTCAGCTCTGCTTTAAAAAAAAATCAACCCAGCCACACTTAATAGAAATAATAGTTCTGGAATTCAACCAATTTTGGGGATTTGCCCTTAAAATGGATTATCATTAACAAGGGCCACCATGAGAGAAAGAAAAGGGAAAAACAAAAAAGGAGAGAGGGAAGTAGCATTTTGTTCAGAAGTTTAAACTGAAATGAACACCTTTGGAAGTGCAAACTATCCATGCTTCCTATTTCATCCTCATTTGTGGTGAAATTTTGACAACTTATCCTGGTCACAGCATCAAGAAAAGGAAGGTTCTGCTTTTACCTTCTATCAGAGTATCACTGGGTCTGGTTTTCCACTCTCCACTCTCATTTATTTTAGGTTTCTGCTGAAACTTTGAAGTGCCAAGGCAAGAAAAGGTCCTTTCATACCTTGCAAGCCCCCATCAACAAGAAACAACCTGTTATGATACCACCTCTCTATGACTACATGTGGCTCCCTCACACCTCCTGCAGCACATCCTCTGGCTTTGCTCCATCCATCCAGGAGCAAGATGAATTCAGCAGCATTTATCCCAAAAATTGTGGAAAATTTTCCTTCACTTTTGGGTTATTTGGAAAAGCAAGACTCTTTCTTCAGCCAAGGGATGTGCCCCATACTAGGATTTTTGCTGAGAGGGTATGTGAGGGCAACTGGTTCCCATTTCCATGAAGGAGATAACAAACTCATGTTTATCCCACAGGATCAATAGACACCTGACTGTGCTGAGCCACTTGGACACATCAAATTAAGGCCATTTTGTTTGGTATCCCCTCAGTGCAACTGCTCCTCCTGAAGAATAACAACCTTTGGAAGGACTGGACAGTGATATTCACCCTTTGCCCTAATAACCCAAATAGAGAAACTATTTTCCTCTACGTTATCAATATTTTGGGGATTTTTCCCCCTTCCTCCAGGCTCCAAGCAATAAATATTCCTTTCTATCCATCCATAAACACCAAGCATGCTTCATTTTCTT